GCCGACCAATCCACCAGTTACAAGCAATTCACTTCAGTTCTGCACAAGTCTCCATCGTGACAAGACGAGGGGAGGCTTGACGACTTTTAAGTTCTCTTGTGTTTTCGATCCAGTTATTTACTTCGTTGGAAGACATAATACTATAAGGTAAGAAATATTAAAGTATTGGTTAAAAAATATTGATGTGACTTTTGCTGCGGTACTGAGATTAAATATTAAGATTTTGTTTCACAGCATTGCGATTTTATACTAAGACACTATCCTCACTGGGGTACAGACAAAAGCCCCCCCGACAAAAGCCACCCAGACAAAAGCCCCCCAGACGAAAGCCACCCAGACAAAAGCCCCCTACTTTGATCGGGGTGGCTTTTGTCTGACAACAGTAAGGGCTTTCAAAAGTTACGGACATAATTAAATAGTTGTGGGTAAAATATACTGTTCTTCTCTGTGGTTAATTATTGGTTAGGTTAGGGTTGGGTTAGGTTAAGTTAGGTTAGGGTTAGGGTTGTCAGACAAAAGCCACCCCGATCAAAGTAGGGGGCTTTTGTCTGGGTGGCTTTCGTCTGGGGGGCTTTTGTCTGGGTGGCTTTCGTCGGGGGGGCTTATGTTCAGACATCCATTTTCACTGTACTCTGAGTCTGTAATTTTAGATTAAGTTGCTACTTTTTACATTTCCATTGTATTACATTGATACTAGTGTCATTGTAGCTGTTTGCTACTTCCTATCTGTCTCCTACTATTCAGAACGAGTTTATAGAAATTTTGGGAGAAAACGTATGAAGCAAAGTCATCAAGCAAGTAAAAGAAGCAAAGTACTTTTCCATGATATTCGACAGCACTCCTGATATTTCACATAAGGATCAAACGAGCCAAGTTTTGCGCTATGTTATGATCGATGGAGATAAAGTGAAGGTTGTGGAATCATTTGTCGATTTCATTGAAACAAAAGGTAAAACCGCCGAGAATATTTCAATGATGATTTTGGAAAAATTAGAGAAAGACGGAATTGATATTCAAAATTGTAGAGGGCAAGCATATGATAATGCTGCGGTGATGGCTGGTGTTCATACTGGTGTTCAGAAACGTATCAAGGAAATTATTAAAAAAGCAGAATTTGTCGCTTGTACAAATCACTCGCTGAATTTGGCGGGTGTTCATGCAGCTTCTGTTGCTGTGAATTCTGTTACCTTTTTTGGATGTGTGGAACGTTTGTTTGTATTGTTTTCTTCATCAACCCATCGCTGGGATGTTCTAACTTCAGTCACTGGTCAAAGTGTCAAGCGCATAATAGAAACTCGGTGGAGTGCGAGGGGAGAAGCTGTAAGTGTTGTAAAGAAACATTTCTCAAAAATCTTAAGTGCCCTAGATAAGTTAACTGGTGAAGAAGAAAATACAGCTACCAGGGCAGATGCTGGTGTTCTACTTGGTGCGTTGCAATCATTTTCCTTTTTGTGCTTTCTTGGCCTGTGGGGACCCGTCCTTCTAGAAATTAACGACACACAGACTTACCTCCAAACCAAGGGCTTGAACATACAACAATGTGATATAAAACTCAGGGCATTAGAAACATTTCTAGTTGAAAACAGGGACAAGCTAGTGAGTAATGGAGTTAACTATGCCAAAGAAATTTGCAATGATCTGGGGATAGTCATGGAGCGTCAGCGTCGACCCAAAAAGAAGAAACAAATGTTTGGTGAAGGATCACGAGATGCTGAATTGCCATACGACATTGAATTGAGGAGAGAAATGTTTTCTTCGCTGGACAAAGTGATCCAAGAAATAACTTTCAACAGCTTCATGAACTTGCTGAGAAATATGCCTTCCTTACCCCATTGAATCTTTTGGATGATAAATATGAGTGTCAAATAGATCAAGATCACGACGACATTGATAAAGAGGAGTTCCTCGTTGAGAGAAAAAGACTTCAGCATTTTGTTGCTGTTGCTGCTATAACTATTAAAGGCAGAATACAGACGTGGAAAGAAGGCCCCCTTGAACTTTTGCAGTTTATTCAAAAGTATAACCTTGGGAACTCGGTTCCAAATATAGTAATAATGCTGAGGATTTTCCTCACAATTGCTGTTAGTGTTGCTACCCGTGAGAGGAGTTTTTCGAAACTAAAACTGATCAAGAATTACTTAAGATCTACTATGAGCACCTTGCGGTTGAGAAATCTTGCCATACTGTCTATAGAGCGACAATTGACAGATGAAATAGTTTTTGACAACGTCATTGAAGAATTTGCCAACAAAAAAACAAAAAAAGTTACTTAGTAGAAAGTTGTAGTTGTCATTTCAGAAATAAAGATGGTCCTAATTTTTTACACTTTTTTACTTTTTTCCCTATCCTATATGTCGTTTTTGCTTTTTGTTTAACTGTTACTTATAAAGTTTAAGTATGTTTGGGGTGTATTTAAAGCATACTATATTTGAGTATGTGAAAGTACAGTAATATTATAATGGTACACAAACTATTTAATATATATATATATATATATATATATATATATATATATATATATATATATATATATATATATATATATATATATATATATATATATATATATATATATATATATATATATATATATATATATAAAAGAGTGAGTCACTGTGCAATATGTATTTTTGTGGGGGCATGGGGGGGGGGGCAAACTCAAGGGCCGCCCCGGGCGGCACACACTCTAGCTACGCCACTGACTGAACCCGCTCCAGTGTTGGTCAAATCTGGTCTTGAAACAGCTCACACTCAGTGCCGTCACAACATTCTCTGGCAGATTGTTCCAAGAGTTCGCAATTCTCACTCCGAAAAAGTTCGCCCCCACAGACAGTTTTCAGGACTTGAGGTTTCTTCAACCTTGAGCTGTGACCCCTTGTAGGGCGGGCGTCTGTAGTAGTAAGCTAGGCTGTTGCAGACGCTCTAATCTCTCTGGATAGCTCAAGTGCCGAAGCACAGGCACTAGTCTGGTGGCCCTCTGGACATTTTTAATCAACTGGCAGTCCCGAGCATATCTCACCCCGACAGTACTTCAGGAGGGGAAGCACCTCTCCTAATAATTTAGTCGCTTGATTCACTTTCTTCTCACAATGACCTGAGAACTTCATTTCATTGTCGACCCATGCACGTCCGTCCCTGTTCCTCATCTTTTACTTTTTACTTTTTCGACTCCTCTCTCGTCTGCTTCAAGGACTCCGGGATTTTTTTTGTGTTGTTCTCTCTGCATTACCGTGCGATCTGAATTTATGAATATACCCCGAAATGTATGGCTTTTTGCCTTTTTTTTTTTTTGGTCTGCTGAATAACTTCCCATTTCATACCCTCACCCAATAGTGTGACCCTGAGGGAGCGGGGCTTGTTCTTCAGCGTTTGTCCTTGCGCCTCCTCCCATCCTGAGACGGAACTGATAAGATCAGAGCCTCTTCACAAATATAATGCAATTTCAACTTATCGTGCGTTCAGGATCTCCTGTAAATCGCGTTCAGTATGAAACTCACATTCATCCGGACCGATCCTCCCTATTTCAAGTAACAGTTATGTAATCCCTGTCATATCAGGTTGGTGGAACGTAAGTAGATTTTAAGCTCAGCGCTTTTGTCGAGGAAAATGTCATGACTTGCATTACTTAAATTTAAACCGAATTTAGTGCGCGTTTGTGGGGTTAAAGAACTTGACCTCATTGAAAGGCAGATGTTTTCCATGTTGGTTTTAATGCTGCAATGAGGTTCACCCGCTCGTTTCTTGTTTGAAGAGGTGTCAGTCTGAAAACCCTCAGCCTACTTGCTTGGATATTCGAGTTGTTTCATAGAAGTGACAATTCTAAAATCGCCCAAAGTTGCACTTTCTTTAGCGATATTATGTTTGTGTAAGTTTAGTCTCCATGCTCGTAACAATAATATAGGTAGTAATTGTGGCAGTAGTTGTAAGAGGATAAGGAGTATATAGTATTGCTGTTGCATTAGCGAAAGTGATAGTAACAGCAGTGAGATCGAACAAGTGGTGGAAGATGGTGACGGATGCGGCGTGCTGTGATTGTTACGGTCATTATAGCAATTGAAGAGGTAATGGTAATGCGGCAATTGAAGTAATAATCTTTGTAATATACTTATTAATATTTTTTGTCTCTATCTGTATCAATAACTATATCCATTACTTCTCTTTACATTTTGTTCCTTATCAGTTACACCGAATGATATGAAATTATCACTAGATATTATTGGGAAATTTAGATTGAATGCTAACTAAAAAGCCATCACAATTACGAGTGTTAGTTACGTCGTTCAACATGCCAAAAGTAAGCTCTTTTAACTTATAATAATATTGATTTTCATACCTACCGCATCATTTCATCACAATCTTACAGAGTGAGATACCATGTTGCTTTACTAATTTAGTTTTATCACAAACTATTTTTCAGGGCATACACATCTAATTATCAAGAATCACTTAAATTTGTGTCAGAGAAATAGAAAGAATATCGTTTGTACTACAATATTTCTTGTTAGATATTTTCAGAAAATACATAAGTAATATAATTGGCAGTATGAAACGTGTAGAAAATGTAAACATACCTTTGATCACTAAAAGCACTTTAGTTCTTATAAGCACTTAAGCATAACTTATATAATTAACATTCAGGCTCTTGAGCCTAAAATTAAATTATACGGTCAAATAGTTTGTAAATTGGTGAATATTAACACAGAATTGTTTATTTTAGATGAAAACAAAAATCAAGATATCCTATGTTTACAGTCAGTCTTTGGTACACGCTGTCAATGCTACCAACTTGCCACTATTATGGTTTTCTCAAACAATATTTTGTTATAAGGTGAAATCGCACGCAAAAAGAAGAAAACTATAAAATTATATGATTAAAAAAGTTAAACTTCAATTTACATTCAATATTACTAAAGACAAAATAAAAATATCAATGCACGGTTGGCAGCAGGACCAAAATATCACTGATAGCAACATTATTGGAACGTCTGCCATCTGTATTTTGAAAACATTGCCAGTGTGGTCGATGAAGTTGTGAGTGTAGCTTGTGTGTGTGACTGTATTTCATAATGGACTCCTCTTTACGCGAACAGGTAATGGGTTATATTTTTATACCTGAACTTACATGAAGGTACATATGTATATTAACTATTAAACTTAAATGGGTGACTAAGGGCTTAATACATCCTTAGATATTAGCAAAATATTCAGAGGCCCTTGGCAATCACGTAGAGTGGACTGATCGTTGGAGTAAGATTTACTGACTAGGCCCATTTATTGATGTAGCGGAAGAGGTTATAATTTAAAGGCAGGACAGGGTAATTTATGTTATATACATCATTGAAACAATGCTATTCTGTAATACTGATTTATATTGGAACGACTTGTGAATACAGCAACATACTCGAAGTAGACGAGGTGGGCTAAACTCAAGTCAGGTCTATAAGTGGCTTTGCTTTACGTAAAGATAATGATAAAATGATTACTTATTAGAATATCTGTAGAGTTCCATTATTAGGTTATGTTCTAGTGATCCATGGCATACTTATTTTTTGTCTAATAGTCTTAATCCTGTAGAAATAGTTAAGTAGTTTATTACCTATGCTACAGAGTAATAAAGTAGTAGTACTGTACATTGTTGCTCCACTAACGTAGACTTATTGGTGATTTGCATAAACATTTGGCTCCTTCGTCTACTTTTAAGTATATTGTTGGAGAAAATGTGTTAGATTAACTTTATTATAATTTGGTAAACATTGTATTACCTGCTGCTGGAACTTGGTTGCCATGGTGATGTGTCCATGCTTTGTTGAGGTACAGTACTTGATATTTAGTTCCAGGTGTATGACAGTAGGCAACAAGAAGTTTGAAAATCAGTTGTTCCAGAAATTCGGCCAAAATTTTGTTAATAGAATGCCCCCAGTAAAATTTGTTGGTCTCTTATTTTTACATTTTCTTACAAAACAAGTACAGTGAAACCTTGGTAGTAAGGACTTATTGAGGCTTAGGATATGTGTCTGCTTTATTGAATATAAATAAAAGATCGTAGAGTTTAGAGATTTTTAAAACATGAACACACATTTCAAGATGAGGATTCTATATATAGTACTTGTAGAAACATAACTGATGGGACTGTACAGTACAGTACTCTCAATGCTCCATCCTAGATGTCTATATTTAATCCTAATTGATAGAGATTCCAAATACTAACTTGACATTTTCGGTGCTGATAGCAGATTCCCTCCCCCCCCACCCCCCCCCTCTCACACACACACACACATTCTTGTGATCATAATCAGTGCCAGGGTTAGCTGCATTATCTGTTCACCTGGCTATGGGACTGCACTTTCTTACAACCAGTCACATGATAAAAGTGTCCAGGTTCTTGATAAGTGAGGTATTCACATACTGTAGGTCCAACATCAAATGAAAGTGTATGGTGTGATAGATTTGTCCGGTCATGGACCTTTATGTACTTCCACTATTTGTTTGGCATTCATTCTAAATGATCGAGCCTAGTGATGCTAATGACTTAGATTACTGAATTCTGTCACTTGCAAACCTATTATATATATATATATATATATATATATATATATATATATATATATATATATATATATATATATATATATATATATATATATATATATATATATATATGCAAATAAATCACTGTAGGTGCGCTTGATCTAGGTATATGCTGATAACCACAAGGAAACAAGAAAACACAAAGTTCCCAAGCGCTTTCGTGTAATTCACATCTTCAGGGGTGAGTACAGACTAAGGAGAAATACTTGAGAAGGCTAATATATACAGTAGAGGAGAGTGAGATCAAGTCCCTAGGGGACAGCAGGGGTCCACAATGTTCCGGTCATAAGGCAGTGACCCTTACTAATCTTCTTAATCCAAAGAAATTGACCATGCCATCTTTAAGCACAGTTGCTGTCCATAGTCAGGTCCCTCGCTGTTCTCGTCATGTTATCTCACCCACAACTTCTTGGAATCCCTGGCCCCTACTTTTGATATTCCTGGATCCGCCCCTGACGTGACGATAAACTGTTTCTCTGTCCGTGCTAATACAATATTAATATTACTTTTGGGTTAGGTAGGATAGAAATTTTGATGAGTTGGCCCACAGAAAAATACCTAAATCATAATGTGGCCCATGACTGAGAAAAGGTTGCCCCTGCCTGGTCTAGTCCATCAGGTCGTGTCAATGAAAGAAAAAATAAAATGGGAGGAAAACAGGATTAGAAGATGCAACTGTGATCTGAAATTATTTAAAAAAATCATTTTATTTAACCACTGGTATGGTTGTATTACACAGTACAATAGAGTACTTGTGGTAGCTCAATATTTGTAGGTTATGGAAATGTTGGTCTGAGACTCTAAGCGACATCGTTATTGTTGAGTCCAAACACTTGGACCTCCCACCCCCAGAGACTACTCATCCCGTAGCACTGCCTATGGTTATACTGTACAGAGTTTCATGATCAGTCCATTTTAGGTAAAATCAACAAACACTATTTTTCCCCCAATATACTAAACATACATATATGTAAATAATGCCAATGAGCAAAAAGAGTTCAGCATAGTGTTGTTAATGGCTATTGAATCAAAACAGTAGCTAGAGAGATTAGGAATGAAATAGGGCAATAGTTTTCCAGACATGCATTTTATATTTTTCTAATCCTCTAAAATTTTAATCTGTGTACTGTACAGTACTGTATATCCCTTGCCCCTGTTGCAAGGGTTGTTGGTTTACACCCAGGACAATATCAGTTCACCCGGCTGTAAATGGATACATGTGCAACTTTAACTTTATATTTGGAAAAATGAAGACAATCAAATGCTGTGCTGGCCATGCTGCCTCCTTGTGTACCAACTATTGTGATGGCTTAGTAGCTATATGGTACAGTGAGCTGTGTTCACACTGCCCATAATGGGCTGTCAGGCTTATGGGATCTGCTTTCAATTTTATATACAGGTTAACAACCCTTTATCTGAAATTCCGAAAACCGAAAAGCTCTGAAAACCGAAAGTGTTTTTTGTGGAGCTTTTTTTTTTTTTTTTTTTTTTTGATACGGGTATTAACCCACCCGGGCACAGGTCACTGACCCACATCGGGGCCTGGGGGACGAAAATGTATTAGTAATAATAATAATAATAATAATAATAATAATAATAATAATAATAATAATAATTCATAGTAAATAAAAATTTTAATAAAAAATCCACAAAAATAAAATAAGATTGATAACAATAATACTGTAATAATAATAATAATAATAATAATAATAATAATAGTAATAATAATAAAGAAATACAAGAATGAAAAAAAGATCAAAAGTGAGAAACACGACCTAGACCTATGAATATTATTATTATTATTATTATTATTTATCATTATTATCATTATTATTTATTATTATTATCATTATTATTATTATTATTATTATCATTAATCATTATTATCATTATTATCATTATTATCATTATTATCAATATTATTATTATTATTATTATTATTATTATTATTATTTTTTTTTTTTTTTTTTTTAGCCCCAGGCTAATGTGGGTCAGTGACCTGTGCTCGATTGGGCTGACCCTGTAAAAAAAAAAAAAAAATCCGTAAATTGAAACGAAATGCATCTGGTCCCAAGTTTGGATAAGGGATTATCCAACCTTACTGTACAGTATATTGCCCTTAGGGTAACCTCATAATCCTTGGCATATTTCTTAAAAATAATGTATGTACATATATATATATATATATATATATATATATATATATATATATATATATATATATATATATATATATATATATATATATATATATATATATATATATATATATATATATATATATATATATATATATATATATATATATATATATATATATATATATATATATATATATATATATATATATATATATATATATATATATATATATATATATATTTGGTAAAATATGAAAGATTATATGACCAACCAACACTTACTGGTTTCTGGCAAGAATGTTAAAATATTAATGGTATAATTTTACTTGTTTGATAGTTTGAAGTCTTATACCCAAGCCCTGGTATTTGAAGAGTACATGCATATCTTAATACATTTTTTTTCCCTTGCAGGTTATGATTAATCAGTTTGTCATGGCTGCAGGAGCAACTAGAGAACAGGCAAGACAGTTGCTACAGTCTGCGCACTGGCAGTTTGAGGTACGTTGTAGACAGAATGTGTAGTAGCTGATTAGACATATACGTAGTAGAACATAATTACAGTTTACAATTGGAAAGGTATTAGAACTTTTGAAATCCCAAGGTAATTTTGGCATGTGATTAATGTTTGGTGAATTTGTGTGAATCTGCCATAATTGTCCGACATGTGTTGCTTCAGGTAGCCTGGGAATCACACAGCAGATTGGCTTCATTCAGACAAAGCTTGTGCTTTTCAGTGCACAAAAATTAAGGTCGGAGACATTTGTAAATCATACTTTGAAATAGTAGCTAATCATCATCAATGTTTTATGGCCAATTTTCACACTAATGTGGGTTAGCCGCTATTACCTGACGGCAGCTCTCCACGCTGTATGGTCTTTTGCAGCATCTCTTGTCAGATACAGTACCTGTACAGTTCTTTAATGTCAACCTTGGCCTATGCCTAGCTCTCCTCCCCTCCACACTTAGATTCATGCATCCTCTTAATTTAATTGGTTCTTATCACCACCCATCTTCCAGGCCATATACTGTACAATCTTTTTTCTCCTTTATCACTCTTGACACTTCTTCACTCCATCATGCTATTGCGTGCTTGACTGTGCATCTAATTTGGTCCTGCATCTTGCTACTCTACCCCTCACACTGTTGCTGGCCATTTCTAGTCTCCTGAACTCTGCAAAATGTTTCGTATATATACTGCTTCATCATTTTCCACACTCTCCATCTTGTAATATATACCTTCCTTTCTCTGCATCTTTTAAGCAACATGTCATACACAAGTAATCTGTGCTGCAGGACACATTCTTCCCCTGTTACCACCTTTACATCCCTAACAAGTTTCCTGTTTGATGATCTGACAAGTATGAAGTAAATCTAGGTTTTTGTGCCACCTGACTCATATGTGATTGATAAGTCTACTCACCCTCTTTAACAATGTGTTGCATACATCCATATTTAGTGTATATGTTCTGGGTATCAAGTTCTATCTACTGGAGCGAACACAAACACCTGTAGAGTTTTCGTAGGTTCTATTTACTGGATAAACAGAGATACACAAGGGAGGTGGCGCTCCTTACTCTGTCTGGGGGGTCAACTAGCGTGTGGGACATGGTAAATACATTGCCACACGCTGCTAGCTAGGCTGAATAAAATAATGTATATAAATGGAGCACATACATAATATACATACATAATATACATACAGCATACATAATATACATACACCTCCCTCCCCCCTATACGCTCATAGCAAAGTCTTGAGAGGACCTTTTCTTTTGGATCCGTTCTGAGCGTCGAGGGACTTGATCACTGGGGAGGGTATGGGATTCAACACTGGTGGCGGGGTCAGCAGAAGGCGTTGTTACGGGGCGGAGAAAACGGCGGTTCCTCCACTACACACGACCACTGGGTAACCGCACCTGGTAGTCCTGTGACCTACCGAGACCCATGACTACGCCCACTTTGTCCCAACGTAGGGAGGTCGGGTTCTGAACACGGACTTGGGTGCCAACACTCAACTTGGGAAGAGGACGGGCGTGGTCGTTGTAGCGGGCGACAACGTCTTGAACACGTTCGGCGGCTCGGCGATCACAATCCTCTGTCTTGGCCTGCCACTCCTTGGAGAAGGATTGAGGGCGAGCAGAGACACAAGAACGAAGGGGGCGTCCATACAAGACCTGGGCAGGGGAGCGTCCGGTGTAGTTAGGTGTGTTGCGGAGTTCAAGAAGACCCTGGTCGAAGGCCTAACAGTCAATATTCCCAGAAGGGGCCACTTTGAGGATGAGGTGCTTCAGGGATTTGACAGCAGCCTCAGTGTGGCCGTTGGACTGCGGGTAATGGGGCGATGACAACACATGCTGGACTCCCCATCGGTCAAGGAACACAGCAAAGTCCCGGCTTGTGAACTGGGGCCCTCCGTCGGTTCACAGGTGCACAGGAACGCCCACGTCACGGAAGTAGTGGCGGAACTTGCTGATGGTGGCGGCAGACGCCGTGTCATTACCGTACTTGATGACAACCGGCCAACCAGAGAGACGGTCGACGATAACAAGGAAGGACTTTCCTGCCACACAGAAAAAGTCGGCCGACACAGACTCAAAGGGGCGGGTGGGGTTGTCGTCACTCATGAAGGGTTCCTGCTGCTGGCTGGGTTGTAATACTTGGCAGGGCTCACACGCACGATCAACATTGGAGATGTCGGAGTCAATGCCAGGCCAGAACACAGTCTGTCGTGCATGTCATTTGGTGGCCTCAGCTCCACGGTGACTGTCGTGAAGGCGAGCCAAGACGTGGGGACGTGAGGCAGCAGGGACAACTACACGTGCTCCGTACAGAACAAGGTCCCCGTCGCAGTAGAGTTCATCGCGGAGTTTCCAATACGGGAGCAGGGTGTTGTGAAGGTCATAGCGGTTGCTAGGGAATCCATTCCTCACACACTCGACGAGTCTGACGTAGGAAGGGTCATCTCGGGACGCTGTTCGAAGGTCCTCCATTGCCTTGTCGTCATCTGGTGACAGGTCCGAATGAAGGGCTCGGACGGCGTGTAGGGTGACCACAGACCTGACGGAAAGAGCGAGGTCGGCGTTGAGCAAATGATCTTCTGGAGTAGGGCGGCTGACAGGAGAGCGGGATAAGGCATCAGGGATGCAGAGCTCCTTACCAGCGTGCCACACTGCTGTGTAGATGTACGCCAAGAGCTTCTCCTTCAGACGCTGGAGCCGAGGGTTCTCAACGGCGTCCAGCGTGTAGTGGTTGAGGATCGGGACAAGCGGGCGATGGTCGGCCACTAGGTGAAAGTGTTGCAGGCCTATGAGGTAAAACCTGCACTTGGACATCACCCAAACCACAGCCAACAGCTCCAACTCAATAGTGGCGTAGTGCGTCTCAGTGTCAGAGAGGAAACGCGAGCCACACTGGACGAGCCGGAACTGCCCTCCACCATGATCCTGCAATAGGGCGTATCCCACGCCGTACAAGCGTGAGGCACCTGTCTGCAGAACCGTTGGCAAGGCTGGGTCAAATGTGGCGAGGACAGGTGGACTAGACAGGGCCTGTTTCACTTGCTGGAAGGCCTTGTCGTGGTCGGGGGTCAACAGGAATGTCCTCTTGGGGCTCATCAGGGGGCGAAGTGGTTGGGAAGCTGCGGAGATGTCCGGCGAAAACTCTGCTAACTGGTTGACGAGACCGATGAAGGACCTCAAGTCGGTGAGGTTGGCAGGGGTGGGAAAATCCGTGATGGCGCGGACCTTCTCCGGGTCAGCTGCAATACCATTCCCTGAGAGGGTGTACCCACAAAAGTCCACTGAAGAGCTGGCCAGAACAAACTTGTTGGCATTTAGGGTGATGCCGTGCTTCCGGCACCTGTTGAGTACCTCGTAGATATGGCAGAGGTGATCCATGTAATCCTCATTGTACACGAGTATGTCGTCGACCACTTTCACGCAGTTTGCCAGACCTTGTAGAGCCATATCACCTCGAAGGCAGAAAGTTTCTCCTGTAGCGGCGAATCCCATGGGGCCACGGCAATAACTGTAATGTCCATGCGGGGTGATGAAAGTTGCAAGTGGTCGGTCTTCTTCGGCAAGCTCTATTTGCCAGTATCCACACAGGGCGTCCATCGTCGTGAAGAAGCGCGCCTTCGGGTTCACACTGCGTATAGCTGCAAAGGGCGTGGGAGAAGGGTGCGCAGGACGAGACACCTGGCTGTTGAGCTTGGAGAGGTCAGTGGTGATCCGAACACCACCTTTGGGTTTTGCGACGACTACCATAGGATGACACCATGGAGACGGGTCATCACCGGCTGGTGCAATAATTTCTTGGGCGACCATGGAGTCCAGCTCGTTTTTGACCGCATCACGGAAGGCCAGGGGGACCAGTCGAGGGGTGTAGATAGCGAAGGGCTTCGCGTCGTCCCTCAAGTGGATCCTCATGGGGGGGCCTACCATCTTCTTGAGAGGCTTGGATTCCAGAGCGGACTTGGTCACCAGAACGTCGCTGAATTCCTTCAGGAAGTACTTCCGAGCATCCGAAGGAGAGGTGTCACTGGCAAGAGGTAGGGGTAGGGCGACAGCAGGGTAGTTGCTGCTCCCTTCGTGCACCCTGTTGGCGTATTTTACCTCGAGAATAGGTTTGGGGAAGCCCTGGGAGATGATGGCCAACTCTTGACAATGTCTGTAGGACAGCAAAGGAGTCGGGACACCGTTATGCACATCAATCCAGGCTTGACACGACCTGTTGCCAAAGGTGACCTGTGCTTGGAGTGAATCTAGGGCTGGGGCCATCTGTGAACCATCTGCCGTGAAGCGGAGATCCTTGGGGGGCGGTCCTAGATCACTTGGAGAGAGCCCCAAGTATTGCAAATGCTGGGGACCGATGACTGTAGCATCAGCGCCGGTGTCGGGCAACATCTGAAGACGGGATGACACACTGCCGTAGGTCACAATGACGTTGATGTGCTGGGGAACTTTGGTCCTGGGACGCGAGGGGGAGTACACCTCCCTAATATGGCTCGAGCGTTGTCCAGGATCGTCATGCTTCTGATTGGAAGACTGTGGGCGGCCCTCACTGGTGGAAGGGCGCTGAAGCTTCCGCCGACGCTGTCCCTTCGGTTTGTTGGTAGGGCAACACTTGTCGTAGTGGCCCAGACGACTGCACACATTGCACTGGACGTGTTTGGCTGGGCACCGTACTGTGAGTGACCAGTGGCCCTTACAGTCACAACTGTTGCAGGTAGACTCAGCAGCTGGACACACCTGTGTTCCGTGCTGCTTACCACAGTTGTTACAAAATGAACCGGGCGTGGGTGTGGTGGGCGAAGGTGTTGGAGTAGACTTCTTGTCCTTCTTGTACCGGGACACAGCGCGTACAGCTGTAGGGGGAGCTCGGATGGCAGAGGTGGCACACCTGGCAGCCTCATAGGAGCGACATATCTTCAACACATCCTTAAGAGAAGAGGAAGAGTCGAGGGAGGTGAGGTGTTGGACAAGCTCCTCGTCCTTAAC